CTCTCTCTCTCTCTCTCTCTCTCTCTCTGTACTGATTCAGTTTCCTGATATAGGTGAATGGGGTGTCAGTTTTTCCCCAGATAATATCTGACTTTTGCTAACTTGGATCTTTCTCTCTTTTACTTAATCAACATGGGGAAATAGGTAGCCAGAAGTGCAAAACCATTGTAATGCATTTCTTTTTCCCCCACAATAGGTTAGGAGTCACATCTTTTTTCTCTCTCTCAGTTGCTTGGGGCAGTGCACATTTCTTATGGCCCAGCAGCAATAAGATTATGGATTTTTGAATCAGTTTATATTAAACTTATTTTTATGTTTATTTCAGCCTGAGATTTGTATCTTTTCAAGTGATATGTAAGTGATATTATTTGTTCATGATGGTTCAATATACATAATATTTTCCAATTATTATTTCATTTTCCAGTTATATCCAAATTTTCCAATTATTTCCAATAATTATTTTAGCTTCTACACCATTTTTCATGGTATGTTGTTTGAAAAAAATGGTAAAAGGGTCTAGAAGAGACTTTTCACTTACTACTGCATTGCTGGGACTGTTACTGAGGACTCCACAACATAATATTTGACAGGTAATGTTTATTTGATAGGTGACATTATACAAAGCAGAAAAACCAGAGGCAGAGACAACACAGCAAACCTGTCTGGATTGTGTTTCACTCATGAATGTAAGTAAGTAAGCTTTCCGTGGCTGTGGCAGTTAAAACAAGGCAAGGCTCTTGTCACTGCTGAAATTCTTTTTTTTTTCAGTTTGTTCAGAAATTCATTTTGTTTACTTTAGAGCTAATGAGTCAGTGTTTCTAGCAAAGACAGAAAACAGGGTCACACAAAGTGTAGGAAACTGCATAGAGTGTACATAAATTATTTTTGTATCTTCGACTAAAGATAAAAACATAAATTTTCATATTGATGTATACTAAAAAAACAAAATTTATTAAACACCTAGTACGTGTCAGGAAATATGAGCCTTATCACAGCACTCTCTTTCTCTGCTTAAATTGTCTTAATATATTTTCCTGATCTACCCTAAAAATACGCTCCACCATTCTGCTCTTTATTCTCCCTGCTCTGACTTCATTAACATAATCATATTCTCCCTGTATTTGATTTTATGTTTTCATTAAAAAAATGACTGTTGATTAGTTAATCACCCTTTTCTCCCTACCTCTCAGGAGTCAGCCTGCCTGAGAGAGCACTCAAGCAAGCTTCCTCCTCTGGACTGTAAGTTCAATAGGGTAGGCTCTGCCCCTCTTTGTTGAGGGGGATGAGGAGCCTGAAGCCTCAACTGACGAGTGTACTGCTGGACCTCATTCAAATGGCCTGGGGACTGCACTGGTGGATTCAGACAAACAGTAGCGGCCTTTGCAGTATGAAATCTTGACGTTTAATTGTATATATGTAGCTTTACCTTGTATCGCAGGAGATGCTGAAGCTGAATGCAGTCTTCCTTAGGCATTGTTGAACAAAACAACACGTGCTGCTTTTTTTAAAGCTGCTGATTTGAATGAGCGCCTCAGAGCAATTACTGTGAGCTTCTAGCTTTAACTTGTCAGTGCTCCTTGCTGGGCAGCGCTAGACAGGTTACCCCCATTCCACTTGGGATTAGAAGTCAGGTAGGGAACAGGAAATATTCACCTTAGGTGCATGCAGTTGTCCCCGGACACAATAATCAGGGTCTTATGTGGTCTCGAGTTAATTCTAAATTATGTCTGAGACCAAACATGAGTTTTCCCATGAAAAGGTATTAGATTTTATTAAAACATAAATAGAAAGAAATGGTGGTTCTTATTGCAAAAATATGCCGATTTCTTAAGCCAAGTTAGTTAAAATATCCATGAAATCATTGCAAACCCAAAGGATAAGAAAACAATTTAAAAGGCCTGAGATTGGGGCCCTGCCTCTGGAAATCAAGTTTGCAAATAAATCAACAGAGAACTAGAGTGGATTCTGTCTTACTGTCAGAATAAAAACAAAACAAAAGAAGAGAGAAAATAACTAAGCTAAAAGTGGAGAGAGGTTTCCTTAAGAGAAATGAGGAAACATTAAGAGACAGATTGGATACATATGAAATGAAAAATGAGCTACTGATGGCCAGAATAGGCCAATATACAAGGAAAATGTAGGCTTACATTTAACTGTTTTTAAGGAAGACATTAGACAATGTCTCTTAATTTTTAATATGGTCCAGGATTAAGAGTGCAGCGGATTCACGGGGCAGATCTCTTTTGGCACAAACATGGGATTCAAAAGGAAAGTGGAAATTAAGTGGTTTGATTATACCAGATTCTTTTCACTCTTTAGGAGACAATTTGCACATGTGGGTTTTTTCCGTTCAGGTATTTTAAATAAAGCACTATATCAAATATCAAATGTTTAAGTCAATTTAGTTTAAGTTCAAAATTCGTCGATTCTGAAATAGACTATAGTTTTGATGATGATAAGTATTAGATTTTTTTCTCTATTC